CTTCCCTCCCCTCGGCCCTTCAGAAGACGAACTCACCGCGGCGGAGGTGCCAGCGATCGCTTTGACGAGAGCGCCCTTCGCCAGTCGGACTGGGCCAGCCACAGCGCCCGACACTCGGGCGAGTTTGGACCGCCCAGACCCAGCAGCGGCATGCTGATGGAGCGGTCACTCTCGCACAAGTCGGATGGAAGGCACAGCTCTGCCGGGCACTCGGTACACTCGGTGCACTCACTGGCCTCGGGACGGGCCAGCAGCCTGGGCATGCACACGGACAACTTTCTGGTCAGCAGTCACGAGGACGACTCGCCCATTGAGGCTGTGGAACCTCCACCCGAGTTCTTCATCCTGGGCTCTGTGCCGTCCATCATTCGATGCTGGCTGTCGACCAACTTTGCGCACGCCACCATGCGGTACGCTGACCTGTGCACGGGATCGCAAAAGTCTGTCATTGACTACTCGCTGATCAGAGAGCTGGAGCTCGAGGACGAGCTCGAGCGCGACGTCGACGGCGTCTACAAGATTCGCATGAACGTCTACCTCGTGGAGGCCACGCCCGAGAGGACGCGGCGGTCCGTGAGCCCCGGCCAGATCCCCAGCATCACGGCCGTGTTTGAAGTGACGGGCATGGACCAGGGCGAAGGGTCAGAGGCGAGAAAGGGCATCCAGATCTTCATTGGCAGCGACACGTTGCGTGCGCACATGGCCGACATTTTGTTCTCGCAAAATCGCATGTCGCTCGTCGGTAACGGCCGCGAGAAGCTGTCGGTGCCGTTTGTGCGGCCGGAAGACGACGGCTGTTTCAAGCGCATCTACACGACCAATGTGCTGCCCGAACGGCCTCGCCTCAACGCCAACGCCAGGCCGTTTGTCTCGTTTGAGCCGCGGGCCCAGGTGGCGCCTCCGCGGGAGTACGAGGACGAGCTCGAGTCTTGCGACCGAGACGGCGATGAGGTCTCGCGCGGCCTGCCGTCGCCCATGATGGACGACCTCGAGACGGCCAAGTCGGTCGGCACCAGCACGGGCGCCCTGTCTGAGAGCGGCGGGGATGGCGAGTCGCAGGCCAAGGAGCTGTCGGGGTCGCTGTCGGTGACGGGCAGCACGGATGGCGGGCGGCGGGGATCGTCGGGCGGCATCTGGGGCTCGTGGCGGCACGGGGCGGCGGCAGGCGGTGGCGGCGGCGCGGACAATGGCCAGCGCGACGGGGGCCCGCTGAGCGGGTACCAGCCGGCGGGCCGGGGGACACGCAACATGAAGGTGCTCAAGCCCCTGAAATCGGGTGGCTCTTCATCGTCTGCGCGCACCGGTGCGGCGTACGAACCGGCGCCTCGGCGCACGAGCGGCGAGCAGCGGCGCAAGGGCGGTCAGCAGACGAACAGCGGCGCCAGCGACAGCGGATCGAGCAACGGGCTGCGGTGGGAGCCGAAGCGGGCGGCCAGCACGAGCGGCGTCGTGC